GAAGACACGGGAGGAATAGAGAGCAGTGGAAGAAGGAGAAGTTATGGGGACAGAAGTGAGAGCCGAAAAAGATCAGGTGGTTCTAGCATTGCAGATAGCGATGAAGATGGTTATGACTCAAGGAAAGAGTCGCATTCTAAGCAGATGAAGAAAAAACAAGAAGAGAGCAGTTTGGAAAAGTTGAGCAGTTGGTATCAGGACGGCGAATTAGAGAACAGGCAAGATGGGGGAGATAAGTCGGGAGGTAGAGGGTCAGTTCGAACCGAAGAAAGTGATAAAAGGAAAATGAGCTCAAAGCTTACACAGCATGAGGATTCTCAGAGTAAAAGTAAGAATAAAGAGGAAAGACCCTATGATGGAGAGCTTGAAAAGACACTTGGTAGAGACTCCAGGCATTCGGAGAGCAAGGAAAGTAGCCATGAGAGGACGCATGGTTCTTCTGAACAGGTGAAGACCTCAAGAAGAAGATGGGATGAATCAGAAGGTGGGAGAAAGGCAGAAGAAAGTCATATTGAAAAATCTGATTCAAGAAGCAGTAAGCCTTCTGATCCTAAGTATGAGAGTTCTAAGGAAAAGAGTGTCACTGTGAGAAATGAACCCAGTGACAGGAGAATCCGTGGTGTGGATTCAAACAGTGATAGGCCTACCAAATCTAACAGGGAAGAGAGAAAACCTGATTTGGAAAAGAGTAAGATTAAAAGCAGGACCGAAACACTGGAAGAAGGCAACAGTGATAGTCCTGTCACTCGTGAAGATAGATCACACAGGGAGAAAACTGAAAAACATAGACAGCAGAGAACTCCAACTGGTCGGGATGTTGCTGAAAGCAAGGAGAGGTCTTTGAATGCAGATGAAGAAGCAAATGCGGGGACGAAAGACAAGGGTCCTAGAGAAGTAGGAAGTACCACCAGGTCAAGGACACCTGATAGGAGTGGGAGGCGTTATCAGGATTCAGAATACGATTATGACAGGAATTTTAATCTTAAACGGAAGGAACTGGAAAAAGATGGTTATAGGAATGATCGACCTAAAGGCAGAGATGATGACTGGACTGACAGGAGTAGGGATCGGGAAGGTTCCAAAGAGAACTGGAAAAGAAGGCAACCCAGCAGTAGTGAAAAAGACTCCAAAAATGGGGACATCAATTATGATCAGGGTAGGGAGTGGGAGCTGCCACGACACGGTCGTGAGAGGACTGACAGTGAAAGGCCTCATGGTCGGTCTGGTAATAGGAAAGATGGAAGCCGTGGTGAAGCTGTGAAGACCTCATCAAATTTTGGAATTTCAAATGAAAATTATGATGTGATTGAGATCCAAACTAAACCAATAGATTACGGAAGAGTAGAATCAGCATCCAACTTTGCCAGGAGGACCGAAGCTGGTCAGCAATCTGATGGGAAATCAGCACCAAGTGAGGAAGAGTGGGCATATCTGCAGGATGACAGAACAAGGAGTGATATGTATGGATCGGGGCCACCTAGGGAAGATTCAAAGGAAAGATATACAGATGATATTAACTCCTTGCGAGATCAGAATTCATGGAGGGAGGACTCTGATGCCCATGGAGGCAAAGGAAGAGGACAGAAAGGTTCCATGCCTGGGTGTGGTACTGGTGGCCAAAGTTCTGGGGGTGGTTCACAGCCTCCATATGGAAATGCGGAGCCAGGTTCCTTCAATAGAAATGCTTCGCAAGGGATGAAAGGGGGGAGAGTTGGTAGAGGAGGAAGGGGTAGGCTTACTGGAAGAGATAGCCAACCGGTAGGAATTCCACTTCCAATAATGGGATCGCCGTTTGGCCCTCTTGGAATGCCACCACCTGGACCTATGCAGCCACTTACACCTAGCATGTCACCTGCTCCAGGTCCACCGATGTCCCATGGTGTCTTCATTCCTCCATTTTCTCCTCCCGTGTGGCCTGGGGCTCGGGGAGTTGATATGAATATGTTAGGTGTCCCACCTGGTCTCTCCTCAGTCCCTCCTGGACCATCAGGCCCAAGATTTCCTACTAATATGGGTACTCCGACAAACCCTGCCATGTTTTTTAACCAATCTGGCCATGGAAGAGGAGTTCCTCCAAACATATCTGGCCCTGGTTTTAATTCTGCAGGACCAATGGGACGAGGAACTCCGGCTGATAAAAATCAAGGTGGTTGGTTTCCTCATAAAAGTAGTGGACCTCCTGGTAAAGCTCCTTCCAGAGGAGAGCAGAATGATTACTCTCAAAATTTTGTCGATACCGGTATGCGACCCCAGAATTTCATCAGGGAGCTAGAGCTTACAAATGTTGTGGAGGATTACCCCAAGCTGAGGGAGCTTATACAGAAAAAGGATGAGATTGTGGCTCATTCTGCTTCACATCCCATGTATTACAAGTGTGACCTGAAAGAGTTTGAGCTATCCCCAGAGTTTTTTGGAACCAAGTTTGATGTCATTCTTGTGGATCCACCTTGGGAGGAATACGTTCATCGTGCTCCTGGTGTTGCTGACCACACAGAGTATTGGACATTTGAAGAAATAATGAATCTTAAGATTGAGGTAGTATGGCTGAAAATCACATTTTTTTTCCCTGACGAAAGATTAGAAAGAGGCATATCTATGAGCTTATGCAAAACTTGCTGCTTAGTTACTTTTTATTTCTTAACTTCGTAGTGGTAAATATTAATAATAAAGCAGGTATCGACAGGTGCTTCATATTATTAAATATTAGCATTTTCATATTCTTTAGGCTGCACATACATTTATATGTACTGTACTGTATTAGACATTTAGACTTCATTCATATGCCATAAGGGTTTAATTATTGCCTTTACGCTTCCTCTCACCTTTGACTCAGTAATTGAACTTTTGTCTTTTGTGCTCACAGGCAATAGCAGACACACCTTCTTTCATTTTTCTTTGGGTGGGTGATGGCATGGGTCTTGAGCAGGGTCGTCAATGTCTAAAAAAGGTATTTAATCCAGAATTTTTTATTCGATTCTAAACACAACGTGTGGTTGCCTTTATTGCTGTAATATGATGTTGGATAATATGTTTGTGTAAACAAATTGTGATTATCTACATCTAATCAATGTGGTCCTGCAGTGGGGCTTTCGTAGGTGTGAAGATATATGTTGGGTGAAGACAAACAAAACTAATGCAACTCCTGGTTTGCGGCACGATGCTCATACTTTGTTTCAGCACTCAAAGGTTGGTGTAATGTTTCTAGTGTACACCTTTATCCTATCACCTGCCCTCCTCCCTTGTTGAAAATCCTGTGGTAAGCTGAGTGTTTTTTAAATGATTTATTCTGTTGCCAATACAATGAAGGAACATTGCTTGATGGGAATAAAAGGCACTGTTCGTCGCAGCACTGATGGTCATATAATCCACGCCAACATTGATACAGATGTGATAATAGCCGAGGAACCCCCGTACGGTTAGTAACCACATCAAGAACGCTGAGTTTTATTGCTATGTGTGAATCATGGGTATAAAGTTGAAGAGTGGTGGGGGTTTTTATCTCAATGTTTCTGTGATTGGGTCATGTGATGTGTAGTGAGCTGGTGGCAGTAACATAGTCTGCTAGAGAGTTTGCATTTGTGAATGTGTCTAAAATGAGTCAAATGTTTTATGCTGTTGGTTTATATATAGTAACTTGGTATTCATGTTATTTCTGTTATGTTTTAGACGTTAAATGGTGACACAATGATCTCTGTAGCGAAATTTTACTTTTGGTGTAAACACATAGAAACAGTCGTATCCTCGAACAATTAACAAAGTGAGGAATGGGGGATAGAGAAAAGGCATTATCAATTACATTATTCTTGGTTCTTGGGATACCATCCCATTTGCATCTAGAGCAATGAAAATGAGCACCTATGATACTAAATTGTGCCTTCGCAATTGCAGGTTCAACCGAAAAGCCTGAGGATATGTACAGGATTATTGAGCATTTTGCCCTTGGCCGCAGAAGGCTTGAGCTTTTTGGTGAAGACCACAACATTCGGTCTGGCTGGCTGACTGTTGGTAAAGGACTATCCTCATCGAATTTTAATACCGAGGTAAAATAGCTTAAGCTCAAAACTTTTTGTGCTTTTTGTTTGGTTTTATATTGCAAAGTAGAAATATGAATAACCATACGTTCCAGAAAGTGGGCTTAGAGTCGATTAATTGTACCACTGCATCAATCTTGTTCCCTAGTCAACATCAAAATTCGTTTCATGATTCTCCAGGGCTATATCAAGAACTTTGCTGACAAGGACGGGAAGGTTTGGCAAGGAGGGGGTGGACGAAACCCGCCTCCAGAGGCACCTCATCTTGTTGTGACAACTCCCGACATAGAAGCACTTCGGCCCAAGTCACCAATGAAAAACCAGCAGCAATTGCAGCAGCAGAATTCATCGTCCATTTCTCTGACACCGGCAAATTCCTCCAACAGAAGACCTGCCGGAAATTCGCCACAAAATCCAATTGCTCTTGGTATAAACCAAGAAGGTTCAAATTCCAATCCCTCAACTCCAGCTTCTTGGGGGCCTCCACCAATGGACGGTTTTAAAGGGAGAGACGGCAACAATATGTCGTCCGATGATAAGGTTTTTGATATGCATGTATACTCCGGACAGCCAAATGCAGAGTTTGTAGATTTTGAGTCTCACAGACATATGAATTTGTTGTAAGAAAATTCCGAGTATTCTCTTTATTTGTATTTTAATTCTTTTTCCCTCTAATATAATGGAAAGAAAATGCGCTTTGTTATGCATCCATCTTCGTCATTGTTCATCTTATTCCTTTTCACTCAATGTTTAAAAATATCGATATCGGTTGCCTTCGATGAAAATGATGAAATTCTTCTATGGCAGTTTGTCGATATTAACTGATATGTCGAAAATATAGACAAAATTTGCCAGTTTTAGACGAAATTTAAAAGTTTTTTTGATATCTTGTGAAGTTTGGACTTCATCCTCTTTCCATGTCTTTTCTCTAATTCTCTAATATTTTCAAGAAAATATTGACCCATATCGAAAAAATTTCCAACACTACTTTCACTTTGAATAAAATTGCTCAAATATTTGTCTTTGAAGCTGAAGACATCATGGTACAAACCCGAAAAGAAAGGCCGAAATTGTCACTTTCCAAAAAATGGCATATCTACATTAGTACTAGGTCAAGATATTGCTACTAGATGAGATTGCAAAAACCTTTTTGGACACTGAATTATACAGAAATTCTACGTACTAGACTAATTCCATATTTTCTTTGAGAAGGAACAACAAAAGTGGGATTTCTCAGCTCCATTCATCCTCTGTCAAAGCTTCATGTCTCAACTTTGAGATTTATAAACAATTGGCAAGCGTCCGTCCATCAATTGTAATTTGTTCTTATGTCTCAATTTGAGGTTGTTGAGGCGAAGGCGTTCTAGCGGCAGTTTCTTCTTCAACAGTTTGAGGTTGCTGGGGTAATGGCGTTTCCACAGCAGTTTCTTCAACAGTAGCTGTTACCAATGTACCTACACAACAAAATCATCAAGAGCGAGAGAGAGATGTATGCATTCAACAAAGTTGTCAAGAGAGATTTGATAACGACTAACCTTGAGATGAGGTCTGAGGTTCAAGCTCACTTTCCGCAGGAGCAGACACCTGCGCCTGCTTTTGGGCAGCTGCTAGCTGCTCCTCTGTGATCTTTAAGTACTCTTCTGTGGTGTATGCTTTGGGTGGTGATGGAGCCCCATCTGCATTAGACAATTGACAGGTCCGGGTTTATTAGACAAAAAACTATTTGCATTGAATCCTACGTCGACAACATGAATCCGATAAAAAAAAAACAGACTAAACACTGAATATTTTCCTCTGTACAAAGCAGATGTAGCAGATATGAAGGATGATGCATGTGCAAGAAATATTATAGGAGATAGAACCGGCTCAACATTTCCCAGCTCTAGTTACTCGTATTTGTTTTCTTTCCTACCATTAGTCCATATTCTAAACCTCACAAATTTGTTCTGGAGTTCCATAATGTGTCAGATGATGTAATGGTTAATATTTACTTTTTCAAAACGAGGGTACAAATTTTGAAGAACAAGTTAATCACTTACCGGTGTCAGCCGTGTTCTTGGAATCTTCAGCCGTCGCAGTTGATGAAGAAGTTGAAGTCTTGCCCATTATTCTGGCATTGTACGCATCTATTGATGATAAACTTGAAATGTCTACAGTTTTGGAATCTTCAGCCGTGGTTTTGGAATCTTTAATCGTGGTTTTGGAATCTCCAGTCGTGGTAGTTGATGAAGGGGTTGAAGTCGTGTCCATTTTCTTGCCATTGAATGCATCTATTGATGAACTAGAAATGTCATCAAGACCGATCTCCTTTTCTAGGGTGCTCTTGAAATCCCTCGAAACTTCCTACATGCAGATGTACGTACATGCAACATTGACATCCTTCTCATAAGAGGGCATAAACATACATTTCGAATGAAGCTCATATTATCTACCTGAAGTTCTCTAATGGTGGGTTGAAAAGCACGCAAAGTTTTTCCTAAAGTCCGAGCAACCTGCATGAAGATAAATCGTTACTCAGGAATGCCAGAACATCTGCTAACTGTCGAGACTAAACATTATCAATTCTTTTCTAAAGCTTGTTATCCTAAGCTCATGACACTATCATTTTGACAGACGAAAAATCTGTGAGGGGTTCATATGCCAATCGTAACCCCCCAATTCTCCAAAACCCCTCCATCCCCGCTACTCAAACTGAGAATACATGCATCTACACAAGAAATTAAGGGCTCGTTTGGGATTTCCTTCTGGGAAGGTCAAAAGTGATTTTAACGACAGAAAAATTTAGAAGTGCTTCTAGTTTATGTAAGTACTTGTAGTGCTTCCTGGGAGAAGCACTTCTACTGCGGCAGTGCTTCCAAATGCATTTCCAGGAAACACTTGGATTTCTTAAAACATTATTGTGCTTCTAGCACAAGCAATTTGGCTGAAAGAACTAATGAGTAGAAGTGTTTTTTACGAAACAATTTGAGAGCTCAATTTCCAGCATAATATAACATACCACGGGTAATGCTAGAGACACTCAATTTGGAGACTAAATTTTGAAAACTAAAGGACATGGAAGTTGATGATTGGTTTATTACTTATGCGTTAATAGACTGCTCCTTTCTATTGGTGACACATCATTTAGTCTTCAAATTGAGTCTCCCAGCATTACTCAACATACCACTTACCTCAGCAAGTCCCTTGGGACCAAAAACCAGCAGAGCCACAACGCCAATAACGAGAGCCTCCGGAGCTCCAACCCCAAACAGGGATGCATAAACCACCATACCCTTACACCTTCCCCTCCTCTCTGCACCGCCAAATCACAAACGAGCTGGACTGATTAAGCAAAACAGCAAACAAATTGCAAAAGCAAGAAAACCCCACGAACCCAAATACTGAAGGTTACCTAATTTCAAAGACTTCGGTGCCAATGAGATGCCCAGCTGCTTCAATCCAATCCATGGCGCGAAAGGGCTGAGACCCAGTGGAGGAACCACTGAGCAGAGCTGAAACTTCGGGTCTTTGCGACGAAATCTGGCTGCTTTTTTGCCTCCGGCGGTGGATGACGGCGAGCACACAAACGTAGCAGCAGCAGGAGCAATGGTGGACGTCATGGCAATCCGTTCAAGAATTCTGATAATTTTGGAGTCATGAGCTCTGGTGGCAGTTCTTCCAAAATTATACCAACCAGAAGAAGCGTTGGATGTGTTTTCAGATTTTCAGCAGTTCTGGGTGGGCCTGGGAAAGTGGGCTTTGCAATCCAACTGAGAGAGGATCACGAACACTGAATGATTTTAGAAGATGGGTTTGATCTATAACTTTTGTTGGGCCAGTTTAAATGTTGTTGATGTGCTCTTCTTTGGGCCCAAATTATATATGTTATTTGTTTTCAGATACAGGCTAAGGCGGGTCAGGGTGCGTTAGAACACAAGACCTCTTTTGGAGGAGGTAAACGCTCTTAACCGCTTTGGTTACAACAACAAATCCTTTTCATGTGAAAATTTGGCTCCTAATGTTCTTTTCTTTTCTTTCTGGTATATGGAACGAAATGTTGTTTTGTAGGGGTTTAAGTGATTTCTAACAATAGATACTTTAAGCTACTCTAATTTATTTAGAGTTGATTGAATTACGAGAGTGACAAGTCACTCCCTCGCCTTGCAGCGTCGACATATGTCATCTAAGTTAAGTCGTTTCCTAAAATGACTCAACTTATTTTACGATAATCCAAGCAACAATACTTATTAATCAACTAAACTAACACATAAAAGCAAAAGATTCGTGCATTAAGGGCTCGTTTGAAAGTACTTTCAAAATGACTAAAAGGGGTTTTAGCGAAAGTGTTTTTAGATTCTAAAAGCACTTGAAGTGCCTCTTACAAGAAGCACTAGTAATGTGCTTCATGCATGAAATATTTAAGTGTTTTTTTATGATTGGTTTCAAATATATTCTTACTATAAGCGATTTCGACCATTTTAAACATACTTTCAAACGAACTCTAAATCCTACAACAATGATTGACCTTCATCCATACTTCCAAAGCAGGATGATGATGAATTATTCTGATGAGAGAATTTTGCATAGGAGCGTAATTTATGATGGAGGATCTTGAATTAAATCTTTTATATGCATATAGTATGTTATGCATGTGTCTGTATATTAAAAGTTTGAGATCAAATCCCCCACCTACTTGATAAGTGGAACATGTGGTGTGCTGGTTTAGCTTTTGGCTTGTAGGACCATAGCCACAACACCTAGCCACCCCATTAGAGGGACCATTTTATGAAATATCCAGTGGTTGCACCTCCCTTGGGGGCCCCTGCCTTTTCCAATATTTGGTTACATGGGTGGATCTAGAACAAAGAAGTATCACGTTCTACACTTCAAATGTAACCAAACTTATATTTTTATTTTTTTATTTTATCAAAGTGGGATATGCATATGATTAGTGTTAATATGATAAATTATCCTTGTTTCGTGAGCCAGCCAAGGATGAAGTCATAAATTTGTAAGAATGAGGGCACTTTCAAACAACAAGGTACAATTAAAAACCTCAAGAATTTACTGCACAAAACACATATATATTAATCCATAAAGTTTTTCACACAACATCTTACAATATTCTTCGACGCGTTTTTATGCAAATAGCTCTCTCTATAAAAATAATCATGTTATCATTGATCCATTGATTTCCCATTCGATTTCTTAATCGATTTTTCATAAATTTCATGGCCGAAAATGCTCTTTCAACAATGGCAGTAGCAACTGGAAGAGTTAATGCTAATGTCACAAGCATGTAAACTAGCGGATACACCTTGTCTTTTTTCCACTAGACCATTTTTTTTTTTAGTTTAATTAGAACTGACGTTGGAATTGAAATGCAATCCATTTTTTCATTTGTAGTTTAATTAGGGCTTGGGAATTGGAATGCAAAAGTACACACGCACACACAATTGAGTGGGGGCAGATGCCCCCTAAGCCATATACAACTCCGTCCTTAGGGCCATCATGGAAAGGCTTCTCCATAGTATCGCATTGAGAGTATTGTCTCATGTTGGGTTGATGAGGTGTTTTGTTGAGCATTTGGTAGGCATGTCGACATATGTCAAGCTATGCTACGAAGACTCCTCAAACATCACCTATCGTGCCCTGTTGAGATCTGTTGAGCATACATTTCAACGAACACTTGATAGGCACTATCAGGTCTTGGATCAAATTGTCATAAGCTATTTAGAGGACTTTCCAAGCCATTCTTCTGTTTTCGATCTCAAGACATGGTTGATCCCTAAATGAATCTGCTCGGGGAGAAAACTAAGCTTAGTTACTAAGGGTTCTAGTTCGACATCTAGGCTCAATCCAAAATCCTTATGGGTTGCACAAACACTGTCTACCATAATTCACTTGTATATTTACTTACCACTAATAGATATGGAAGGAGCTTGTATTGTTTCAATCTCGAAATTTTTCTGTGCTTACAACATAGTATTAATCTTACATGTGAACAACCACATACCATATCAGCTATAAAAGAATAAATTTATCTTATACCCGAACAACTATATATCATTCTGATTCATAACTCACTCGATTTGTTCATAACGTTCGACTAGAGACAAGAACACAATCTTAATATAAGTGTGTGTGACTAGGTAACATGAAATTCAATAATTAAAAAGTAAAATCCGAGACCATAAAGGTAGAAAGGTAAAAGGATAAAAAGGTTAGTAATAATAATAAAGGGGAAGAAAGAGGGTGTTGAGATTTCATTATCAGAAAGCAAAAGGATTGAATATTTGAATGGATGGAGGGATGATGAAAGCGAAAACCACCCGTGCAAGTTTAATTTAGTGTATGTGCATGTCGCTATCTTACGCACGTGGGTGCGCACAAATACCCATTCAAAAAACACAAAGGCATCGCCCCCACGTGCACATCTTTGACAAAAGGTTTCATCTTAGTGGAAAATATAATTAAAAATTAGAACTTTCTGCCTTTTTATTTTATTTTCTTGGTTGGAATTTGTTATTTGTCTAAGTTATATTTCAATATAGTGATCAATTGATAACTCGTTTAGAAGTATTTTTAAAATAATAAAAAAAAAATTTGAGGAAATTAGTTGGCTTCAAAAAGTATTTTAGTGTTTTTTATTACAAAAAGTATTAGATATTTGTTTTTTGTATGAATAATTTAAAGTGTTTTTAAAAAAACCACTTAAATTTTTATTGAGGATTATTTTCAAAAATATTTTTACTAAAATGTTTTGATTATTTTAAAAGATATTTTAAACAGGCACTTAATACATCATTTTATAACATTTTTTACCAATAAATTAACAAAATATAAAGAAAAATTTACCCATGATATTGTATGACCATCTCCAAACGAAATTGGTAAGCATAGCCTCATCTAAAATTATAGCCTCGCAAAAAATTATTTAGAAATGAACAATGTCAGGCTACTCATATACTTCTCTCTAATCGGACCCCTCAATAATTTATTAGTTTGAAATTTATACTCTAAATTTATTAGTTAATTTAACTAAACTAATGTAGGATGTTCAAATCTAGCAGTTGAATTTTAACTCAGACATCGGTTACAGATAAATTTCCAGACAAATATTTTTGAACTTTTGAATCTTTAGGTATCGTTTGGTATGCAGACGGGACAGAACGGGACGGACGGAGAAGGAGCAAAGATGCCTTCGGATGGAAACAATGAGGAAGAAGAAGGAGACGGAGAGATTATAATTTTATGTTCCATAGTTGTGGAACGAGTCGTTCCAGGGGGATGAGGCGGAACGAAAATTCACCAAAAACTCGTCCCGTGGAATAGCGCGTTCCATGCATTTTAAACGCACCAAACATCCAAATGTGGGACGGAACACCTCGTCTCATTTCGTTTTGTCCCGTACTACCTACCAAACGGTACCTTAATTCTCTTCAAAACGTCCCAGTTCTTCTCCCATAATTGGGCCCACTACATATTGTAATTTATATTTAACTTGAAAAGTTACTGAATTTGCGGTTATTCTGTTGGGCTGTTCCGTTGTGGGGGATGGCAACTGAAATGCGGTCACGAGAGGGGCGCGGGACTCGCGTAACGTAAAAATCAGAAACCCAGAATATTACGAGTCACGAGTGTCTCACGCGGTCACACCACCGCGGCTGCTTTTCCCATTAAAATCACCGCTGAATCATTAACTTGGTGGGACATGGTTGGTAAATTAGAACTACATCAGAGCCCAATTATGTCATTTTGTATTCTCTGGCCACTGGAAGCACTTTAATTTGTGTGGAGAACATGATTTTTTATTGTTTGTTTATGTTGTCTTCGGATTTAAGCTTGTGTGGGTCTCCCGTTGTATGTTGGGTTGCTGCTCTCATTTTGCTTGGACCTTTTACTTTCCCTGGAATTGTTTATCCAGCCATTTTTGGGGCTTGTACTAGTTTTTATCATAATGAAAGTTGACTTTGTGATTAAAAAAAAAAACAACGACCGCTGTAAATACTATATCATTTCTCATTACCAGTTAATAAAGTTTTTAGTATTTATTAAGTGGTGGTTAGATAATAATTTGTTTTTACCTTTTTAAACTGAAATCTTGTTTGATAGCTATTTTTGGTTTTCAAAAAATGAAAACAAGAAAAATACTTTCTTAAGTTTTCAAAATTTTGATTTCATTTTTTACTTTGTTGTTTTCAATTTTCATTTTTATGAAAACTAAAAAACTAAAAGTAGTCAGTTAGGGTAATGCTAGTAAGACAATCTATTAAAACTATATTTTGTAAACCGTATGACGTGGTTGTTGGTGATTAGATTAATGTTTATTAACGTGTTTATTTTCTATTGGTGACACGTCACGTAATCTACATATTTGGTTTAAAAAATTGGTTTATGTAGAGTTACTCAATTATCAAACGGCTCTAATTAAAACGTGTTTAACTTGAAAAAAGTACACACATAAATAAAAAGGGTAATGCTATTAACACACATGTTTTTAAATCCCACACACTCTTGTTAATTTTATCTATCGATCTTCTTCAATTCATTCGGTCTAACCGTTGGAAATTGAAAAGAGCGTTTGAAAAAGTGTGAATAAACATCACCTATTAATAAAATGTGTGTGTAAGAGAGATGACAGCTGGCTTTCTTTTGTCCAATCCCTTATCCAATTATCCCCCAACTTGCAAGATTTAA